GAGCCTTCCAACCTTCTAAGTATTCCTTTATATGTGGTTCAGAGTTCTGGGACCATCCCCTGAGCCTGCTTGGTCAGGTATTCTGTGTTGTTGTTGGCGGAGCTCTTTACTACACGTCCACCCGATCCGCCATCTTGTTTGTTTTCCTCCTGTGCCCATTTTTTAACTGGGTTATTTGTCTTTTTGTTGTTTAGGTGTTGTAGTTTCCTATAGATTTTAGACATTAGTCTAAAAATGACATATCTGATATGTCATTGCAAAAGATTTTTCCCATTCTGTGGGCTCCCTTTTAATTCTTTTAGTGAAATCCTTTGATGCACATAAATTTCTCATTTTTAGAATGTTCCAGTCATCTATTTTGTCTTCTTTTGTTTGTGTAATTTTCACAGTGTTTGCTAATCTGTGTGTGCCCTGGATTAGAGCCCTTAAATTTGTCCCTATTTTTCATTGATGAACTTTATAATTCTGGGATTCACATTTAGGTCTTTAATCCATGATGAGTTGGTTTTTGTATATGGCGTGAGATAAAGGTTTGGAATTATTTTTTATGTATGATGCAAAGTAGAGTTTGAGGTTTTCTTCTCTTATGTATATATAGTTATTCCAGCCCCATTTAAAAAAAAAAAAAAAAAAAACCACAAATTTCTGCAGTGAATTGATTTGATGCAATTAGGAGAAGGTCAATGACCATGTAAGTGTAGTTTTATTGATGAATTCTCTATTCTGTTCCACTACAGTGTCTTGATAGTTGTAGCTTTAGTGTAAGTCTTTATATTGAGGTGTGTAAATCCTTCAAATTTCTTATAATTAGCTTAAAATACCATGTAAGTGATCCTGTCACACTGCTCACTCACATTGTACCTCCTGCGGTCTCGAGCTCTGAAATGATGCTTCAGTGTTACCTGATTTTATTGAACACGAAGGTCTTTGTTAATAATGCATGCATATAACAGAATAGGGATCTGTTACAACTACATGTATCCTGAGAGTAAATGGTCCTCACAATATCTTCTTGAGTGAAGAACTCAGGATGCAGGACAGAATGTGCAGTATGGTGCCATGGGTGTGGCTTGATTTGCTGGTTTGATTTGTATGCCTGTGTGGTGTTTTGTTGTGTGTGTTTTTTTTTTTAATTTATTGTATGCTTTTACATTTTTAAGATGTTGATGTGCATAAACTCTGTAGACGGATACTATGAAATTGAAATGGTAATTGCTTTTGGTTTGAGAGAGTGGTCAGAGGAAGAGATATTCATTTCTTGTTCTTTTAAATCTTTTTAATAGTTATGCATTGGGCCACTAACTACAAGGTCAGCATTTTTATTTATCAGCCACTCCAAGGGAGAAATATGAGACTTACTGCTCCTGTTAAGATTTGCAGCCTCAAAAATCATACACAGGGAAGGTCTCAAAGTTGGAACTGACTCAGCACAACCACCATCATGTTTAGTACATGTATGTGTGAAAATATAATAAAAAAGAGCTCAAGCGGTACAGTAGTTATGCACTGACAGGTCAGTGGGGAGAAAAATGTGGCAGTCTGCTTCTGTAAAGACTTATAGCCGTGGAAACTCTGTGTTGGCAGTTCTACTCTGCCCTGTGGGGTTGCTATGAGTTTGTATGGACTTGATGGCAATGTGCTAAAAAAAAAAAATTGGAATTAAAAAAATAATGTCACTTATTTATCTGGGAGTGGATTGTTACATGGACTCTTGGAAACCAGCAAGACACGGTGGTGACGCAGAGACCACCTGTGGGAGAAACAAGGAATTAGGAGTAAACTACTGGCATTAAGCTGACTCTTAAGAATTGTTTTTATAGAATAAAGAATTGTAGGCTCAGTAAGCTTGTCGTTCTTTTTCACTGAAATTATTAAATGGAGTGGATAAGCGAGGAATTAATTTGAACACTTTTGTGTTATTTTTATTGTGGTGACAGTATGTGTATTTATATGCATATGTTTCCTCACAAGTTTCCTTAGTAATGGCATGTTTTGAAAATATTTGGCAAGCATGTGCCATGTGGACCTTTTTAAGAATTACATGTTATTGTTAGGTGCCATTGAGTCAATTCCAACTCATAGCGATCCTGTGTAGGGTTTCAGAGGTAGTAAATCTTAACAGAAGCAGAAAGCCTCATCTTTCTTCTGGAGAGCAGCTGGTGAGTTTCAACTTCTGACCTTGTGGTTAGCAGTCCAGTGCTTATCCTACAGTGCTCCCAGTGCTCCTTCAGAATTACATACTTCAAAATCTATCAAGGTTTCTAATTTCTGTTGTATAGCACAAAGATTCAGTGTTATTTGCGTGACTGGCATGTTAATTTTTGTATGATGTACCTAATGCTTCAATGAACTTTTTTTTTTAATCTCTTTCTCTTTTCAAGGCTCTAATAAAATTCAAAAGTTACTTGTACTTTGAAGAAAAAGACTTTGTGGATAAAGCAGAGAAGAGCCTAAAGCAGACTCCCCATAGTGAGGTGAGTCATGCTCATAACTCAGAAATAAAAGACCTTGGAGATTGGGACCAGCTCGCTAATTATTGAAATGAAGAAAATGAGGCCCAGAAAGGAATTTGCTGGTAACACTTTGTGTAGCAGAGCACACGCAAAGGCTCACTCTTCAGTTTACTTTTTTTGTGCTGGATCTGTAGTTCCATGCTGCTGCTAGAAGAGGGGTGGCCCAGGGTCCTTTCAGGAATAGTCTAGAAAAAGCAGTATAGAAACTGGCCTAATAAGGGAATCTACAAGAGATTGAGGAAGCAAGTCAAAACTATTTCTTCTGTATCAGGGAAGATATCAAGAGCATCAAAGGAAACACTGGAGTAGGAGAAGAGACCTTGCTCTGTGACCCTGAACACTAGGAACTATAATCACTCACTCAGCATTTTCTAGAATTTCCTACTTTCCCTTCTCAGGGTCCTTGAGAAGATGTCTGCCCAAGGTTATGACAAAAATCAAAGGCTGGGACATCTGGAACAGCCACAAGAAACAGGAATTAAAGAAGAAAGGAAGGAAGAAAGTTCTGAATTTGAAACAGTTTTTCATAAAAGTATAATCAGCTTCTTGGAGGACAGTAATAGAAGGGAATATAAGGAAAACAGAGACTTAGTTCTAGTTACTTTGGGGGAAAATAGCAAAAGGAAGCAGTTAACAGATCTAGGGATGATGTACCCAGAGAGGAAATGGCTGTTGCTGGGAAGAAGAAGCAACAAAAGTTACTTTACCAAAGGAACCTATTCTGAATTCACTATTTAGAAATTAACAGAATATTCAAGATAAATTAAGGGAAAGAGAGAACAAAGAAAATGAGGATTAACAGACTATGATAGAAGTTCCAAACATCTTCTAAGTAGAAATGTAGAAGTAGCAACCTGAGATTAAGAAAAATAAACCAAAAACAAAATGAAGGAAAACTTACATAGGTATCACTCACTCATTGCCATTGAGTCCTTTCTGACTCATAATGACCATGTACAGGGTTCCCGAGACTAAATCTTGATGGGAGCAAAAAGCCTCATCTTTTTCCCACAGAGTAGCAGGTGGGTTTGAATTGCCAACCTGTGGTTTACAGTGCTTATCCTACAGCACCGCACCAGTGCTCCCTTAGTAGTTTACTTCCAATGAATAACTAAGTTACATAGGAGTCCAGAAAACAAAAAATCTGAGAGCATGTTAAAATTGGGAAAGAAAAATTACTTGAAAAAAATCTATAAATGTAAGATATTTTTGTTACTATATAAGCTACAGTCTCCTTCTGAGGTCTTGTATGGCTCTGTAGGATAAGCACTGGACTGCTAACAGCAAGGTCGGTGGTTCAAGCCTACCAGTCGCTCCTCATAAACCCTATATAGGGTCTCTGTGAGTTGGAACCACCTTGACAGCAGTTAACAACAACACTATATGCTCTTCTTTTCAAATGTTCTCCAAGTAGGTTCATTTTGTTTGTTCTCTTTTTAAATTCTGAAGTAAAACCAATGGTGTCTTTGTTTCAGATAATATTTTATAAAAATGGTGTCAATCAAGGTGTGGCCTACAAAGATATTTTTGAAGGCGTTTACTTTCCAGCTATCTCACTGTACAAGAGCTGCACGGTATGTATCATGTTCATTCTGTGAACATAACTTAAGGGAAATAGTGAATGGTCATGATAAAAGAACCATAGATTGAGCTCTAGAAAGAAATCTGAATAGGCCCAAGAACAAAATGGAAATATGTTGCTACGGTTACTGTTTAATCCAAAAACAGTTGGGGGCTTTTAGGAAACTATTCGTGCAACCACTGCCATCAAGTCATTTCCATCTCATGACTACTCTGTTGGATAGAGTAGAATGTTCCATAGTGTTTCCAAAACTAAACCTTGATGGGGATAAGCAGTCTCATCCTACTCCCACACAGTAGCTGGTGGATTTGAACCACTGCCTTGTGGTTAGCAGTCTAGTACTTAACTCACTGTGCCACCTGCCTGTTTTTGTTGTGTTTTTTTTAAATGATTGAAAGTTTCATACTTCGAGGTTTCATGTATTTTTATTCTGTCAGTAGCCAAAAATGTAGATAGTACAAAGAAAATGTGTAGGTTATAAGCAGAAATCAACATAAATCTATTTTATTTACCTAATTCTTGATAGACATTACAGTGTTGACCATTTTAGCTATTTAATAGACATTATACACTCCGGTTCCTGGTGTGTAGTAGGATAAGCACTGGACTGTGAACTGCAGGTTGGTGGTTCAAACCTACCAGCTGCCCTTCAGAAACCCTCTATAGGGTTGCTGTGAGAATCAATTTGATAGCAACAGCAGCAGTACAGTTAACACCGTGAACATCAGAAGTGTATTTAAAAAAAAAAAAAAAATTCCTGTATCAGATTTAATTTTTCAATATTTTCTTGTGTTTTTTCATGTTTGCTTGAATTGAATTTATCCTAGGTTTCCATTAACTTTGGACCATGCTTCAAGTATCCTCCAAAGGATCTTGCTTATCGCCCTGTGAGTACCATGACAAATGTTGGCATTGCACCCTCAGTACCTTTATGATTTCTTGGCTTTTTTGACTCAGCCTCTTTCCGTCTTTCTCATCCCTCCTGCAGATGAGTGACATGGGCTGGGGCGCTGTGGTAGAACACACTCTGGCTGACGTCCTCTATCATGTGGAAACTGAAGTGGATGGGAGGCGGAGTCCCCCATGGGAACCCTGACCAGCTCACTCTCCTTTTCAGACATGGACTGTCTGGAGAATAATGTTTGAGTGTGGTTTTTTTGGTTGTTGCTCATTGGTTGGTTTTTTTAACTGCATTAAGAGTTCTCCCTAAGATTCTGCAGAGCACAGCCTCCACTTTTTGCAAGTTAAAAAGTCTAGAGTGGGAGCCAGGAGACTCCTTGCCCTTTTAATGTTCCTTCCTCACTTTCAGTGAATGCCTCTTATATTATACCACATGCCAACATCTGCTGACCCCATGATCCTTATGTTTCCTGTAAAATCGGTGCTGTGCCACATACCCTGCCAGCTGGGTTTTTGTTATCTTACTAGGTTTTCTTAGGAGTGAATTATCTTGTACAAGTAGCTAACTTATTTAAAGATGTCTCCTTCTGTGGGAATTGGTTCCATCCCATGTGATTTCCAAAGAAATGGTTGGTTTGTTTCTGAGAACAGCTGAAATCAAACAGCTGTACATTCCAAAAGAGTCTTAAGAGTTGTTTCCTTTGGTGCAGGTTTGTTTTTGTTACTAATTTTGAAATCTACTTTTGGACACTGGTATCTTTGAAACTACTTGGTCTCTAGAACTATCATTGTAAAAGGAACTTGCTTGCAGCTTTAACAAAAGTAGAAAACTCTTCCCAAATAAAATTTGTTTTTGAGTTTGTGTGACATTTTTGTTACCTTGTTGGGGTGCACTTAGTGGTAATGTCAGACCTTCCTAGTCATTTTAACCCAGAAGCTCCACTGAAACTTGCTCAGCATTATAACGACACACAAGCTTCCACTGACAGATGGCTGGTGGTGGTGGCTGCTTCTGAAAAGCCAATGAGAATTCAACCCCCTCTCCCACATGGAAGGCGGGAATTTCAACACTGACCTACCTACCATTGTCCCCTCTTCATACGGTCTATACTATAAGGTCATTTCTGTAAGCAGGTCATCAGTAGCAATATGTTTTATTCTAATGTAAAGATAAAACAAGTGGGACCGATATCTCCCCACACACCACAAAAACAGTTCCATGGTTTGAAGAAAACAAATCATAATCCAGCTCAGAATCATGATCTTTGTTGAAAGCCAATTTGTTTATCATCAGCCTGTTTTCATTTGATACCAAAGCGTTTCTTTACACATCTTTTACATACAAAGTAAGCATTTTCTTTTAACTAGGAAGAGATGATTATTCTGTTCTAGAAATACTTATACAACTATTTTCTTGCACACTGAAGCTCTCAGATAAACTATAATTTCACCCATGACAAAAATAGAGTAAGAAACAACCAGGATAAATAACAATAAATAGTTCTGTCCGTTGTAAAATTACAGTACCTCAATAAATACCAGTACTCCTGCTATTGTTAAGTAATAAATAAAGTAGAGCCTTGTTTCCAAATGGTGAAAAAACATGAGTGCTATTAGAACTGGAATAGAAAAGCTTCAGGTTGTACCCAGTGCCATCAAGTCAATTCGGACTCATTTCAACCTTACAGCACATAGTAAAGCTGCTCCTTAGGGGTTCTGAAACTATAAATCTTTACTGGACCAGACTGCTTCATCTTTGTCCCACAGAGCGGCTGGTGAGTTTGAACTGCTGGCTAGTGGTGGGTTCGAACAGCTTAACCCATTGTGCCACCAGGGCTCTTCATCCTACTTACAAATTTTAGCAAAGTAATCCCAATTTATATATTTTTAAAATCCTGGAAAGGGAATTTACTATCACTGTATTACCCTTCGCCCTCCAGCCACGTCCCCTCATAAAACAGTGAAATATTGGTCTATTAAAGCAGAAAAGTTGGCTGCCCAAAACCAACTTGACAGCTGTGACATTCTCCTATAACTAAATGATATTGGAAGTAAAAATGCTAACCAGAAATTGATGTAGTGGACTCTGAACTGAAGATTCAGTATCCTTTTTAAATCTAAATCACTGAGGGGAAAAAAGTTTTTGTTTATCCTAGAAATAACTGTTCTTTTTTCTTCTCTTGTTTTGACTATCCTTCCTTTTAATTAGAAAAATTAAAATCCTCAGTTTCAATCTTGTTACCAGTGGCCATTAATCAGCTATCATTTGCAGAGTTAAGAACTGATTCTGGGCTTGTGTTTATCATAGAAATTAAGTTTTTATAAAAGATAAGTTCTTAATAATTGAATGGCACAAACCTCCGGTAGTTTCTTTGCTCTTAAAGAGCTAGGAGTCCTGGTGTGGCGCTGTGGTATAAAGTACTAGACCATGAGGTCTATTTGAACCATAAAGTCGATGGTTCAAACTCTCCAGCCACTCCTCGGAAACCCTGTGCAGGGTCACTATGAGTCCAAACCGAGTTGACGGCACTTAACAACGAGCTAGAGGAATTCATTTTATTTTTCTCTGTCCAGGACTCTTTAGTACATAGTCATAATTTACTAGATTTTGTTTTTTAAGAGTAGTATTTTAAAATAGGCTCACACTGATGTATTTGTGTTCATTATGAATCTTTATTCTTCCTAGTGCTCATGGAATTAGCAAACATAATTAGCAATTAGTTTTGTATTTTTTCATAGAAAAACCTTGGAGTGGATTTCTGGGAGGTGCCTACTATGGGAAGTTCTTGCTTATGCAAGCAACTACAGTCCCCTTTGTAAGTCCTGGTTTGTCCAGATACATTTCATGCAGGGAATGGGAGTTCCTGAACCCATAAAGTATGAGGTCCCAACCCTGTTTTTAGCATTCCCCATGTTCTCACTGGCTAGTAGCATTTTAAGATGTTTTTCGGTAGCCATGTAAGAATTCAGGAATGAGGTTTAAAAACATTTTGAGAGCCATAATCTTCATTCTACAGCTAGCCAATGAAGGAAGTGAGAAGATGATTCCTCTATATCCATGAACCTCATCCCTATTTTCTTGATGCTCATATTTTACCAGTCTGAGTCCTTGGATCTTACTAAACACTGTACACTCTTCCCACTGATCCTAAATAATGATCTTAAGTGACTGGAAGGCTTCCAGCAGAGATTTTTCTCATAAATGCAGGCTGCTCTTTAACACTTGGCTTCAGAAGCTAGGCTGGATTCTAGGCGGTGGCGCAGATGGTTGGCAAAATCTACCTGGGTCTGTGAGAGGACCTGGTTGATGATAGTCTTTGGCAGCCATCCCTGAAGTGTAAGACAGAGAGGTTGATCATTTTTAGGTGGTATTACACTTTAGACGTTCCATTTTAGTCCCCTTGGCCCCCTATCACAAACATTGCCTGGGATTTGGTCTCCCAGATGTGTTTATAGGTCCAACCGGGGTGTTGACCAGAGTGAAAGACCAGGCAACTGCATTGCCACCTCTACTGTCATAACAATGTCAGAAGCCCAGGATGTGCGCTGAAGACAAATTTCAACTCTGTATTTTCCCAGTTGTGTGACCCTGGACAAGTTACTTCTTCCACATTTAAAATTTCTGGGGCATAAATTTTCTTCTTTAAAATTATAATGAGCTGAACTTTGATGTGAGAAGTAAGAGGGAGTTTTGCAAGTCTTTGAGATGATAGACTATCAACTAGACTATCCCTTAAATTCGTTTCCTCTGCAACAGTCCGATTCTCTAAAACTAGAAGAGGATTCTTCCCATTTGTTCTATGCAGCATAGTATGGAGAGGGAAGAGGCTGTTTTTCTCACCACCACCTATCCACTGAGCCACCTCCCTTACTGCTCACCTTGAGATCAATGCTGAGTAACCAAGTGAGTTTGGTCTTTGAAGGACTTCCAGCCAGGGGATGAAGCACCATGCAAGTGGGACCATGTTCAGCTCTGACAAACGAATAGACATAGTCAAGAAGACAGTAGAATCCAGAAGACTGTTCAGAGTTCCCTCTTAGGCTGGTTAATGACAGCTATGTTTCTAGAGCACAATGCTTTATTCCAAATGTCAGAGGAGTATCCTTTGACAAGATGATCTGTAACATTTTAGTGTGGTTACCAATGTTTCAGAACAAATACTCATTGGAGCTGGAACCTGTAGTACCTTTTAGTTGCTAGATCATGAGGTGGTGGAGGAAAGGGTCCAGGCTTGTAGCTGAGCCCTTGAGACAGTTAGTAGCTATGTACTAAATGGTATCAATTATTTCAAGGTTTTAATTGCCAATCTTAGAGCATACTATGTGAACCTCAGCCCTATCGTTTCTTTAAAATATTGTAACATCCTTACTTTCTAGGATACTCAAAAGAAACTAATTTACGAGTCGGGTTGCTAACTTCAAAGTCAGCAGTTCAAAGCTACCAGCCATTCTGCAGGAGAAAGATAAGGCTTTCTGTTCCCATAAGGATTTACAGCCTCAAAAACCCCATACAGGGTCACTATGAGTCGGAACCAACTCCACAGCACCACCACCATCACCAAGGTGGGGATAATCTTATCTTTCTCCCCTGCTTTGGAAAATGAGAATCTACTTTTGTAAATAGTTCTTTAAGGAGAAGAGCCAAAGATTAATTTCTTGGAGCTGGGGAATCAGACCATCACACACTTTAAGGGTGCATGTCCACAGGCCTGTATTAGGTGAAGGGAACTTTAAGCTTACTGCCAGTATTACCTGATGACCCCCTTCTGCACAGGCATCTCTCCAAAGTGTGTTGCTATGCCAGCCAGCACACAGGTGGAACCTCGGCGCTTGGCACAACGTACACTCACAAAATCACGAGGCCCCACAAGGTTTCCTGCAGATTCTGCAGCCAATTCATGGGTGATGACTGTCTCTTTTCCAATCCTTTGCAGAATCTGCCAGGTTACAAGGGAACCAGTCACTACTTGGCCAGTACTAGGATGAAGGCATCACACACAGCATGGGTTCGTTTCTTTGGTCTACCTTCAGGCTAGACTCCCTTGGGTCCCTGCCACCCACACCTGGACTTTCCTTACCTTGATCTCCTTGACACTGGGGTTCCACTCTCCCATTGCCTCCATGCGGTCCACGAGTTCTCCATAGAGCCTATCCATGGGCTGGTCTACCACCACCTCTAGCCGGAATACCTTGCCC